CAAATCTGCGGCAACTGTGTGATGCCATCATGTCAATATGGACCAAACTCCCTGAGGAATGCTTCCAGCACCTTGTTGAATCTATGCCACCAAGAATTGAGGCAGTTCTGAAGGCAAGAGGGGGTCCGACCCATTACTAGCATGGGGTACCTAATAAAGTGGCCGGTGAGTGTATAACTTCACATGATGCTCCACATTCCTCATTTTAGGGAAGACAGGGGTTCTGGGAAGAGTTTTACATAAAATACAACTTTATTCTTTTAACATTAAGACCAGTCTTGTATAAAGTACTGGAATCTCGGAGTCAAGTAAAAGTATAAGTACCTCTACAAAATAGGATTAAGGTAAAAGTCCTAAAGTATCTGAAATGGCTTGTACTTAAGTATAAGGATTACTGTAAGAATAGATGTACTCAAGTAATGTAGTGAAAAGTAGAAGTAAAAAGTAGTGCAGTTTGAATGACATTTTTTTTTTACATTTTGTTAAACTTTGAAGGTTAAATTCACATAAAATAACATAAACAACCGAGTGTAGGATAAATTTAGACTGGCTTTGCGAAACAGGCGTATCCTATTGGTGTTGATGAACAAACCCAGGCAAGACCCGACTTTGTAGTCGGTAGGCGGGGTCAAAACACTGGCGTTTTTCTCGCTCGTTTTTTTTTTTTTTTTTACTTAGTAACTAAACCAAACATTGAAAATGTATCGGAGTAAAAGTATGCAATTAAATACGTAAATGTAGTAAAGTAAAAGTGAAAGTTCTCAAAAAAATGTATACTCTTGGAAAGTATAAAGTACTCCACAAGTACAGTAGTAAAGTATTTTTACTTTGTTAGTATACAACACTGATTAAGACTTTATTCTCATATTATTACTACTTTATTCTCGTAATGTTACGACTTTATTCTCATAATATTATAACTTTATTCTCGTAATTTTACGACTTTATTCTCATGATTTTTCGACTTTATTCTAGTAATTTGGTGGCTTTAATCTTGTAATTTTGCAACCTTATTCTCTAAATAAAAACAATTTTTTTTGCCTGGCCATAATAATCTGTCGTAGATAGCGTTCAGTAAATCTCCGTCTCTACGTAAAACGTATCATTTCCTATCAGATCATGGCTATATACGTGGACTCCTCTCCCTTCAGGTTGAATCTAAAGCAAACTAGCTAATTCCAGAAGGTGGGTCACATTGTGAATTTCTTGAGTTGATCTTTTGCTTCTTTAAGAGAAAAGTTTGGGTTTGTTTTCTTCACAGCAACTCTGTCCTTTTATTTGATTCGTTTTGCGACATCCAGGTAAGCGAACTCGATCTCCCTTTCTGCAGGACAGGTACTGGTAAACTCTTTCCTTTGGTAGGCACAGTTCAAATATCTCCACACGCCAGTCATCTCTGCAGGGATCTCCAAACCACGATACTTCTTCACCACAACCTACAGGAGAAAGCAGAAAGCAATGAGCAACGCTAACCACTAACCCTAATCCTATGCTTTGGTGAGCAAACCTTTAAAATGTGCAGCTTAGGTAGCAGGTTACAGTCTGCGAGGCTGAGATCAGGCCCGTCCAGGAAGCTCCTGGATGACTCAGGCAGGTCACCAGCTGCATCAGCATCAATCTCCTCTGACAGGGGCGTCCTCAGGAAGTCATCAAGATGACGAAGCGACTTTAGCAAGGCTTTCTCTAAGGCTGTAACCACAAAGGAACCGATTGACTTTGTTTGTACTGTCATGAATTTACAATTCTGTTTCTGTTTTCACAAACAGCACTTAACATCATAACGCATCATTAAAGAGTCTGACAGAGTGCCCAAACGTGGCAGCCAAAAGGCGAAAAGTGTCACAGTCTACGGCTTACCGCTGTCCCAACTTGACGATTTAGACCAGCGTATGTCTGACGTAAGAAAAATCTGGCAAAAACCCTGGAATACAATAGATAAGTACGTTTTCTATAGTTATGAGCATGCTGAAGAACGCTGGCGTATGTCGACGTACGAAAAGTAGGTCGAGAAATTTTGAGCATATATTTTGAGGTATAGATAATGATCCATTGATTATTCCTTGCTGACTACACGTCGCGTTTCACATAAAAAATAATATAACATGTTTGGACCCTGTATGATGATGACGCACTACTTTGTCTCGGTCAGTCACACCAAATCTCAGCTGTGGATTCCTAGAACCCTGAACCTGACTGAACTCTCTGTGGATTCCTGGAACCCTATACCTGCCTGAACTCTCTGTTGGACTCCTGGAACCCTGAACCCGCCTGAACTCTGTTGGACTCCTGGAACCCTGAACCCACCTGAACTCTCTATTGCACTCCTGGAACCCTGTACCTGCCTGAACTCTCTGTTGGACTCCTGGAACCCTGAACCTGCCTGAACTCTCTGTTGGACTCCTGGAACCCTGAACCCGCCTGAACTCTCTGTTGGACTCCTGGAACCCTGAACCCGCCTGAACTCTCTGTTGGACTCCTGGAACCTTGAACCCGC